GGCCCAGCATGTAATCCAAAGCTGCCAGCCATACACAGTGTTAACTGTACTGAGGCCCGCCACCACTCCCCCCAAAAGGGATGAGAGGAAAAATAAATGTGCACAGGCGCTTGTACATGGGGATAGGGGTGACAGGCTGCAGGGGTGGACCTGGGCAGACAGGGCCACTCACCCTGGGTGTGGGGGGGATGGTGCTTTGCGCAGGCCCGGTTCCCAGCCCCACCTCATGCCACAAGCCTGACTGACCAAGTCTTTGGAGCCAATTCTTATCTCAAGGTTATGGTCCCAAAAAGCACTAATGTAACCTTCTGGGAATAGCAAAAAAAAAAAAAGAAAGAAACAGATGTTGCTATGGTGTCTAAACTTCTCATTTAAAATTTCCTATACTTTTGGCCTCAGCATAAAAAATTTTTCCTCCAAATACTGACACTAGTCATCTCCTTGTGGCATTGTGATTGCCCTGGGACTCCCTCTGCATGCCCTTCTCTAACCTCACAGACACCTTTCCAGAGGTTAAAGAGGTAGCCATTTGTTAAAAAGGCTGCCTGTTTTTGGCTAAAAGGCAGAATCCTAGAGTTTTTCTCTCACTGCGTTGGTCAGGTGCCCTATTTTGACCAGTCACTTCCTTCAGTCCTGGTCACGGATGGTGGAAGGAAGTCACAAGACAGGGATGCCTGCTTTCATCAGTTAGGTCTGATCCCCAGCTGAAACTCTGACAAAAGGGGAGTCTGACAAATTCTTCTAGATGGGACCTTCCCTTCCAGTATTCTGGTCTCAGTAGCCAAGCGGTCTCTGCTGGCCTGTCTATTGAAAGTTTGGAAGGACCTTGACCCTATTAATCACAAGAAAAAAATCCTCATCTTTCTTTGTACTGAGGGGCCTGGCCTCAGTATCCCTTGGGTGACCAATAGAAGTGGCCTTCAGAGGGCTCCCTAAATTATAACACCATACTCCAATTAGAACTTTTCTGCAAAAGGGAGGAAAAATGGATTGAGGGCTCTGATATGTAGCTTTTCTTTTATCTCCAAGACCACCCGGAATGGATCCATAATTGCTCCATAATTGTCTAGATACACAAACACTGGCCATTCTTTGTAAGCCACAGGATAAACATGGGGAAAGAGGACCAGAAAAGTCCCTTACCAATGACAAGGCCCACTTCCTACTGCTCCATCCTCTGCCCTACCTTCTAAGCCACCCCAATATTCAGAACCTCCTAATGGACGTTTTCCCATTCAACAGGCAGTGGTGGGAAAAGGGCAAGTCTATGTCCCCTTCCAGTTATCAGATCTAAGGGAGATTTAAAAAGATCCGGGTAGCTATACTGATGCCCCAGACAATACATCCAAGTCTTTACTCTGTGATCCAAACCTTTGAATTGACATGGAAACATATTATGCTTCAACTAGACCAGACTCTTTCCTCATTAGAAAAGCAATGGTCCTGGCCCAAGCCACTAAGGTTGGGAACAATTCCCATCTACAATGAGCCCCAATACCCGTGGCACCTGGAAATGAGGGAATGAATATGCCTATGCCACAAGGGCACAGGCAGTCCCCTTGGCAGATCCACATTGGGATCAAAATAGTGAGGATGATGAATGGTGTCAATGCCACTTCATCCATCTTCTAGTGGAAGGGCTAAAAAGGGCCAAAGTCAAACCTCTAAACTATTCCCAGGTGACTGTAGTATAACAAGGTCCTAATGAAAACCCCCTCACCTTTCTACAGCATCTTAAGGATGCTATCCAAAGCATACCACAGTGGACCCAGAGTCACGGAGGGAAAGTCTCCTCAAAGGTAAATTTCTAACTCAATCAGCCCCAGATATCTATAGAAAATTCCAAAAGCCTGTTCCTGAAGAAGAAAAATCATGGGACCAACTAATGCAACTAGCCATGTCTGTATCTATAACTGGGATGTCACTAAAAAGAAAAAAAAGGATAAAAAACACCATGACCTCATCACAGCTCTCAGGGAGTGCCCACCGGACTGGGGCCTACATCCCAAGCTTGCTACCATTGTAGACAGGAGGGGCACTTCTGCAGACAATGCCCAAAGGGGGACAGCCCGGGAGACAGACCCAGCCCCCACTGGGGCTTTGCCCTCTCTGCAAAGGTAACTACTGGAGGTCTAAGTGCCCCCATCTCCAGCTGGAAGGTGGGGTGTCACCTCCTATGGATTGACGGGTTCTGAGGCCTCATTTCCAGGCTCCACTTCTTGACATCAATGTTGAGGAGCCTCAGGTAACCATAATGGTAGAGAAGCAAAAGGTAATTTTCCTCCTAGATAGTGGAGCCTGTTTCTCTGTCTTACCATTCTCTCCTGGTCCTCATCCAATGACAAGGTTAGCATTCAAGGCAATGTAAAATAGCATTTTACATTGTAAAATAGCATTCAGTGCTATTTTACTCGGCCTATGGCCTGCTGTTGGGGAGCCCTCCACTTCTGTCACTCTTTTCTCATAGTCCCTAAGACTCCAGTGCCCCTGCTGGGATGGAATTTACTATGTCAACTAAAGGCTCAAATTCTCCTCCCCCCAGGGGACTATCTCTGCTGCTCCCTTCTTCAGGAACAAGTAGATCCCACAGTGTGGACTGATGGAATGACTGTAGGGCAAGCCAAGACGGCCCTCCCAATTCAAATAAAACTCAAAAAACCCTCACAGTTTCCACATCAAAAACAGTATCCCCTCAAGCCTGAGGGACAACGAGGCCTCTTACCTATCATAAATTCCTTAAAAAAAAAAAAAACAAGGGCTGCTAATTAGTTGCTCCAGCCCTTACAATACTCCTTTCTTGCTGTCCACAAGGGGCCAAGCAAATGGAGGTTGGTTCAAGACCTCCAGCTCATTAATGAAGCAGTCATTCCCCTCCACCCAACTGTTCCCAATCCCTCTACTCTATTGGCTCACACACCCTCAAAAACCCAATATTACTGTGTACTAGATTTAAAGGACATTTTCTTTTGCATTCCTCTGCATCCTGACAGTTAGCCTCCATTTGCCTTTGAAGATCCTACAAACCCTTCACAACAACTGACTTGGACAGTCTTGCCACAAGGGTTTAGAGACAGCCCTCATCTTTTTGGACAGGCCCTAACCAGAGACTTATTAGATTGTCACTGCCCAGAAGCCACCCTTCTTCAATATGTTGATGATGTACTTCTGTACGGAGCCACAGAGCCCCTCATTTCCAGGGTGACTGAGCCCTTTTAAACTTTCTGGCCTCCCAGAGATACAAAGTCTCCAAGGAAAAGGCTCAATTATGCCTCCCTCAGGTCACCTACCTGGGTGTGGTCTTAAAGGGACAGACTTGCTCCCTGAGTTATGAGCGGATTGACCTAATCTTCTGTTTCCCACTCCCCCAGACCATAAAGCAGCTTAGAGCTTTCTTGGGAGTTACAGAATTTTGAAGAATCTGAATCCTTAGGTATCTTAACAGGTCCAATGGATCAAACTCCAGCTCTTAGTCAAGGAATGCTCACCTCTGCCTATGCATGAGCCCTCCATCCTATTCTATCAGGGGCCCTGAGACAAGTACCACCACCCCTATTCTCCCCCCCACTGTCCCTGTTGCCCCATTGTCAGCACGAAGCAGTTAGATGATGAGTCATCACCCCTCTCCCCAACAGCAGTTGGATACTTGTCTCAGAAAGGGGACTTGTTGGGTCTGGAGACCTAAGGCAGATGAGTGAGTGTCCCATCCCCCCATGGAGAGCACTGTGATTCCTGCATCCTGAGGAGTTGTAAATCTGCATTCCTGCATCCTAAAGAGGAGATACAGGGTCTGACAGATCAGCCACAGGGCTGATGAGCAAAATGCTCTCAAGATTGCTCCCCCTGCAATAAGGGACAAACAAACCAGTTCATCTAAGAAAGCCCACGAATCCACAGCCAATGAAAAGAGCCCACCTAACTCTTACCCAAACCCAGAGTTAGAACGTCCATAAAAGCCCCAGCCCTCACCTGAGCAGCAAGTTACGGGTTTCCAGGCTCCACTGCACTTCTCTAGCTGTAGCCTTTCCTTTCTCTCTAACAAATCTTCAACACCAGCCCGCAACACTTTAAACCGGTGCATAACACCGGCACCTGGCTCTCAGCCATTTTATCTTTTTTTTTTTTCCCCTGAAAATTGGTGTTATTATCTTTGCCCAGGCTGGCCTTGAACTCTTATCTGAGTCAAGTTCCCAGCCCTATTATCTGTATTTTTTTCTGAGATAAGTTCTTATTACCTTTACCCAGGCTGGCCCTGAACTCTGGATCTTTCTCTCCTTCTCGAAGTGTCTGGGATTGCAGGCACATGGCCACCATGCAGGGCTAAAATTAGTAATTAACTATTTATTTATTTTGGTGAGACTGGGGTTTGAACTCAGGGCTTTGCCCTTGCAAAGCAGGCCTCCTACTGCTTGAGCCTCTCCTCTAGTGCATTTTATTCTGATTATTTAGGAGATGGGGGTCTCACAAATTATTTGGCTGGGCTGGCCTTGAAACACGATACTCCTTATTTCAGCCTCCAAATACCTAGGATTATAGGCCTTAGCAACTGATGCTAGGCTAGTAATTATTTCTTCTTTCTTTCTTTCTTTTTTTTTTTTTTTTTGCAGTACAGGGGTTTTAACTCCAGACCTTGCTGGGCAGGTGCTCTATCACTTGAGCCACACCCCACGATTATTCTAATCTTTGCTATTACTTCCTCCTCTTTTTCCCTTTGGAAACTCCCTGGGGTGAGTCCCTTATGTAGCAAAGGGGACAAGGAAGGTCAAACCTCGTGCAGGTCTTTCCTGCCCCAAGGGTAGGAGCAGGCCTAACAAGAACGCCCCTCCCCCACCTCGCTGCCCTGAAGGTGGAGCCAAGCAGTGCTCTTCCAATAGGGCGCGGGAACCAAAGAGGCGCGCCTTTGCTTTGGGACTGGAGGCCAATGAGAAGCGACGTCGGAGTGAAGGGGGCCGGGGCGTAGGGACCGGCCTCCCCCTCCTCCACCGTGGGTTTTAATTTCGCTTGCAGGCTGTCTTCCCAAGCGCGCGCTGGGTTTGGGGCTTCTGCGTGTGGACGATGGCGCTCTGCTGGGGCATCGTGTCAGCCGGCCTCATCGCCAGCGACTTCGTGACTGCGCTGAGCACGCTGCCTCGCTCCGAGCACCAGGTCCCCCCTCCCTCCGGATTCCTGGCGGAAGCAAGGGAGAGGGGATCCCAGGGCATCCCCCCTAAGGCCGCAAACATCTATTTCTCTGCTCTGTCCTTGGGGTTTGCGAGGGTCTAGAATTAGTCACTGTTTTTCTAAGTTCTACCCCATGACCCAAAGCCCAGCCCCTGTCTTCTCTCCATGCCCGACTTGGACGATGCAATCTCTCCCTACCCCGGAATCTTCCCCCATCACCTGTCTCCCATGCACCTGTCCCGGGGTCCGCACCTGCCCCGGGGTCCGCACCTGCCCCGGCTGCGGAGTCTGACCTGCTGCTCCTCTAGGTAGTGGCAGTGGCGGCCCGCGATCTGAGCCGGGCGAAGGAGTTTGCACGGAAACACGACATCCCCAAGGCATACGGCTCCTATGAGGAGTTGGCCAAGGACCCCAACGTGGGTGAGTGGCGAGCGTGGTGGGGACAGTGGCTCCCCCTGTCCCCGACCCCGCGAAGGGTCTCCGGTGTGGGCCGACCCCTTTGGGCTTCTGGTAAGACCTGCTCAGTATTAAATCGCGCTTAGCCTCCGCGGGAACGAAGAGGCTCAACTTTCTAAAGACGCCAAAGAACGGTGGCGAGGGTTTGAAACGACTGTGTGCCCGGCGTCACTGCCTGTAGTCCCAGCTATTCCGGAGGCTGATGCAGGATTACTTGAGCCCAGGAGTTTGGGATCAGCCTGGGCAAGACAGCTAGACCTTATCTCTAACAAGAACAAAAAAAGATGGGGCGGGGGTGAGGAGGGGACGGGGATTATCTTGTGGCTTAGACGTCCTGTGACCTGGAGAGGTCTGGGATCAAGTGGCAAGGCAGTAGTGGACATAGCCTGGCTCCTCACTTAGGCTGCGGGCTTATTTTCCTCTTTTGCTTGTCTTTCCTCAGTTTCCTCATCTGTAAATCGGGCAAAACAATAGTTTCTATCTGTCCATGGTGGTTGGAATACTTAGTGTTTTCATATCATTTTTGGAAGGCGGAGAATAGAACGTTGGCAGAGAATTGTTACAAGTGACTGTTTTGTTTTGTTTTTGAGACGGTCTTACAATGAGGTCCAGGCTGATCTCCAACACGGGATCTTCCGTCCTCCACCTCCAGGGTGCTGGGATTACAGCCGTGTCCCACCGCGTGGGGCTAGTTCCCCCTAGCGGTAGACTAGGGTGTGACTCACCTCTTCACTCCTGGACGCTGGGGGCGGGGCCCGCAGGCGTGGGTGGGTGGGGCCTCAGGAGTGGGGTGGGCGGGGCTTCTGACCTCTTGGCTTCCTTCCTCACCACTAGAGGTGGCCTACATTGGCACGCAGCACCCCCAGCACAAAGCCACGGTGCTTCTCTGCCTGGCAGCCGGCAAGGCTGTCCTGTGCGAGAAGCCCATGGGCGTGACCGCCGCCGAAGTTCGCGAGATGGTTGCGGAAGCCCGATCGCGAGGCCTCTTCCTTATGGAGGTGAGGCTGGAGGGGCCGTTCTAACATCCACCTCTGCTTACTATGCTTTCCAGTGGCCATGTTTGGGCGAACACAAGGAAAGAGTTTGCCAACAGCCAAGATGGTCACCATGGTCAGTGTATTTGCCAGGATAGAGTTGAGTTTTCTGGCAACCTCTATGGAAACCACCAATTGGAATAGGCTGATGACCTGAGACAAGTTTGTTGGGGCAGGAAGATTTGTTTAGAAAGCCAGCAAACCAAAGATGGAGGCTGTCGCCAACAAAGACCATCTTGCCTCAGGGTTGCAGGCACAAAGGCTTCTGTAGGGAGTTGTGGGAAGGCACAGCTGACATGCCCCAGCCAGGGCAGCTACAAATTTTGGGTGGTCTACTTTTCTGATGTGCTGGGCTGTTGTATTTGTAGGTCATTGGATGTTCCAGGTTCTGTAAATCTAAAAACCTACCAATTAGAAAGTCTTCTAGGCACCCCAGTGGCTCACGCCTGTAATCCAAACTGCTTGGGAAACTGAGATATGGATGATCAAGGTTCAAGGCCAGCCCAGGAAAATAGTTCTCAAGACCCCATTTCCAAAAATAACCACAGCAAAATGGACTGGAGGTGTGGTTGAAGTGGTAGAGCACCTGCTTTGCAAGTATGAAGCTATGAGTCCCAACCCCCAAAATCCTTGTCCCACCAAAAACCAAACCAAACCAAAAAAAAACAAAAAAACAAAGGCATATTCCCCTAGAGAATACTGGAAGATAGGGAAAGGGAGGACAAGGAAGATAACATATGCTGAAGAACCATTTTCTTTTTTTGGTACTGGGATTTGAACTCAGGGCCTCATACTTGCTAGGCAGGCACTCTTATTGCTTGAGCCACTCCACCAGCTCACAGACATCATCTTGATCAGTTGATAGAACACAGAGGCCCCAACCTAGGCAGTATGAATCTGACCTTGAATAGGTTAAGAATTATGGATTGAAAGAGAACTCTAGACATCACTTTGCTACTTCATGTGTGACCTGGGGCAAGTAATTTGAACCTACTCAGCATCCTTTTCTCATCAATGAAGTATAGACACTGATGGCCACTGGCAGGGATGCTGGGGTTCATAATGCAGAAATACGTACATAATGTCTGGACCACAGCTGCAACCCATAACTGGGATGTGCTGTTAGGTAAGGAGAAAAACCGCAGGGTAGTGAGCAGTTCCAGGAGAGAGAAGCATCCCCCTCGGGCCAGGTAGAGCAGGGACTATAGGGAGAAGACTGTGTGTATTAGCTTGCTGCAGCTGCTGTCACAAAGTACTGTGGTTTAAACAACAGAAATGTATTTTCTTTTTGGTTGGGACTGGAATTTGAACTCAGGACTTTACATTTACCAAGCAGGCACTCTACCACTTGAGCCATGTCTCCAGTTCATTTTGCTCTGGTTATTTTAGATATAGGGTCTCTAAAACTATTTGCTGAGGCTGGTCTTGAATTTCAATCCCCCTGATCTCAGCCACCCAAGTAGGTGGGAGTATATGCATAAGCTTCTGGCGCCTGGTCTAACTTCTACTTAGAGGACAGTAGTCATATTGGATTAGGGTCCACCCTAATGGTATTGTGTTATGGTAATTACATCTCTTAGGAATCGTATCTCCATAGCATGCAGTGGTGCACCTGTGGACCCTGATGCTCAGGAATCTAAGTGCAGAAGGATCCCTTGGATCCAAGAGTTTGAGATCAGCATGGACAATGTAATGAGACCCCATATCAAAAATACAAAACAGCTTGTGGTGGTACATGCCTGTAGTCCCAGCTACTGGGGAGGCAAAGGATTAAGGTTAGAGGCCAGCCTGAGCAAAGTTAGTGAGAGACTGTGTCTCAAAACTAAAAGCAAAAGGACTGGAGGTGTAACTTAAGTGGTAGAGGGCTTCCTAGCCAGATCAAGACCACTGAATTCTTCCCCAGTGCTGCAAAAAACAAGCAAATAAACAAAACCCACTGGAGGACCAGGCCTACAGGCTCACAACTGTAATCCAAGCTTCATAGGATGGGGAGATTGGAGGATCCCTGACTGTGACCAGACTGGACAAAAAGTTAGTGAGACCCCCATCTGAACAAGTCATGCATGGTGGTTAATGCTTATAATCTCAGCTAAGCAGGAAGCAAAGATAGGAGGAGCACCATCTGGCTCAGCACAAAAGCAGGAGACCCCATCTGAAAAATAAAACAGAAATAGCTGGAACATGGGTAATGCACTTGTCTAGCAAGCAGGAGGAGGCCTATACGTCTAAAAACAAACAAAACCCAAACAAGATCTCTACCCTATCACCTAATCCAGTCCCCTTTGTAGGTCCTTAAGACTCTAATGGATGAATGGGACAGGAAGGGGAACACAGGTAAACCCAAGGAGACTGGGGTGGTGGTCCCTGTGAGGAAGGACAAGGCTGAGAGAGACAAGGGCAAGAGGGATCCAAATGGGGACTAGCACTCTGTGGAAGACAGGAGGGAGGTGGGTACTTTGCAGACTGGGAAGTAGTGGGCACCCCAGGAGGGAGAACAGGGCAATTCACTCCTGACCCTTCCTTCCCTTGCTGTGTCCTGCTTTTCCCCTCTGTGGTCTACAGGCCATCTGGACCCGATTTTTTCCTGCTATGGAGGCTCTGAAGTCAGTTTTGGCCCAGGGAACTGTGGGAGAGCTTCGAGTGGCCCGGGCAGAATTTGGGCTTAAATTGACCAACGTTCCCCGGGCCATAGATGCAGCCCAGGCTGGCGGCAGCCTGCTGGACCTTGGCGTCTACTGTGTCCAGTTCATCTCCATGGTCTTTGGCAGGCAGAGGCCGGAGAAGATTTCAGCTGTGGGAAATTCTATGAAACAGGTACCCCTGCGCTGGCTTGGCCCACCCCTGAGCCAAGAACCTATCTCCCAGCCCATGAGAATCAAGGCAGAACTTCCCAGAGGAAGTCAGGGAGGATCAGAGATCAGAGTCAAGAGCACAAATAGGCTGTGTGTTGAGACTTTACTATGTGAGACTCAGTGTCTCTGAGTCTTAATTACTTGGGTAAAATGTCAATAATAGGAGTTAATGAGGTAACTGTTTAGGTAAATGGTCAGTATTTAAGAAATATAAACAAGTCAGGCACTGGTGGCTCACACCTGTAATCTCAGCTACTTAGGAGACTGAGATCGGGAGGATCCCAGTTCAAGGCCAGCCAGGTAAATAGTGCTTGAGACCCTTGCCAAAATAACCAGAGCAGGGTGAATCTGGTGGAAATGTTACGTACTCATGTATGAAAATGGAAAAATGAGACCTGTTGACACTATTCTAAGAAGCAGGGGAGAGAGCAGGAGGATCCCAGTTTGAGGCCAGCTCTGGCAAATAGTTCACAAGACGCTATCTCCAAAATAACCAGAGCAAAATGCACTAGAAGTGTGGCTCAAGTGGTAGAGCGCCTGCTTTGCAAGTGTGAGGCCCTGAATTTAAACCCCAGTACTGCCAAAAAATAAAAATAAGAAGAGGGGCAGGCAGAATAAAGGAGAATGATGGAAGGGGTGAATTTTAACTTATATTGTAAGCATTTTGTACGTGTCACCATAGACCCACAGTACAACAGTATTATGACAAATTAAAATTTAAAAAAGACCAGCAAAATGAACTGAAAGTATGGTTAAAGCAGCAGACAGCCTGTTTTGCAAGGGTGAAGCCCTGAGTTCAAACCCCAGTCCTACCAAAAATAAAAAATAAAATAATACTAATTTTAAAAGAACAAAAACCAAAGGGCTGGCAGAGTACCTTCCTTGCAAGCATGAGACCCTGAGTTCAAACTCCAGTACAGCCAAAAAGAACAAAAAAGAAAAAGAAAACATGCAGGAGTCATTTATGAGATTTCAATTCTTGGGGTTGACCAGTAGGGCTGGACTCAGCTAGGGTGGTTCATCTGCTGATTTCCTGCCCAGAACTGCAGTCAGCTCACTGTTGGCTGTGACTGGTTGGTCCAGGATGACCTCATGTCATCCTTGAAGGTGGTAGGCTTGGAAGCCTTGGTTCTCCTCCCCATGGCCTCTGCAGCTGGCTACCTTGGACTTATTCACATTGTAGTCTCAGAACTCCAATGCAGCCAGAGAGGGGAGGCCCAGAAGGCAGGCATTTGCAAAGCCTCTGCTCACACCCTGTTTGGCAGCTCAGATTTCAGAGTTGGGTACAAAGACCATCTGTTCTTGATAGTCTGGAACTCACTATGTAGCTTAGGCTGGCCTCAAACTCAAGATCCTCCTGTCTCATCCCCCTAAGAGCTGGGATAACAAGTGTTCACCCACCATGCTGGGTTCTTTTTTTAAAAATAAGATTATTAATGCATATTAATTGTAATTTTCTTTTGATTAGACTGGGGTTTGAATTCAGGGCTTGTGCTTGGCGAAGCAGGCACTCTACAGCTGGATCCACCCCTCCAGTCCATTTTGCTCTGATTGTATTTGGAGATGGTTTCTTGATAACTATTTGCCTAGGGTTGGCCTCGAACTGCAATCCTCCTAATCCTCAGCCTCCTAAAGTAGTGATGAGTATAGGCATGAGCCACTGGTGTCCAACTTGTTGTACGTATTAAGTGGGTCTCAATGTGACACTTACATTCATCGAAGGACTTTGTTCTTTTTCATTTCCACTTAAGAGGGGAAGTCTCTGGACAAAGTTCCACAGACAGAATTTGAGGTTCATGCAGTCCAACCTCAGAGACTTTGCCCTGTCCTGACCTATCACTTCCTTCAATCAGGTGTGGATGACACTGTCAGCGTGCTGTTTGAGTTCCCAGGAGGGCTCCATGCCAGCTTCACCTGCAGTATCTCTGCTGAGCTCTCCAACACAGCCTCTGTGACTGGTACCAAGGGCAGGGCTCAGGTGAGACATGACAGATCCAGAGTCCAGAGTCATAGTCCTCAGTAGTTGGAGATGGGTGATTGTTGAGACCCGAGCTGGATATGAGCTAAAGCAGCCATTTTTTCGCCCCATTGCTAAGTAGTCCGTCTTCCTTAAACGACTGAGCCAAGGGTTGGGATTTGGGTCTCAGAAGTCTCCTGAGAGTGAACCTATCAAGTATCCTTAGGCCTGAAGAAAAACTAGTTTTGTTTGTTTGTTTTTTGTGATGCTGGGGATTGAATCCAGGACCTTGTGCATGCTAGATAAATGCTCTACCACCGAGTTACGTCCCCCAGATTTTTTTTTTTCTTTTTTTTGGCAGCACTAGGATTTGAACTCAGGGCCTCATACTTGCTAGCAGGCACTATTACCACTTGAGCCACTCTCCCAAGCTCTTTTTGTGATGGTTTATTTTTAGATTGGTCTCCTGAACTTTTTGCTTGGGGCTGGCTTCAAACCAGGATCCTCCTGATCTCTGCTTCCTGAGTAGCTAGGATTACAGGCCTGAGCCATCGGCGCCTGACTCTCCAGACTTTTTTTTGTTTTTCAGTACTGGGGCTTGAACTCAGGGCCGACAACTGGAGCCACTCCACCAACCCTTTATTGTGATGGATTTTTTTTGAGATAAGATCTCCCAAACTGTTTTCCTAGGCTGGCTTCGAACCTTGATCCTCCTGGTCTCTGCCTCCCAAATGACGTGAACTACCGGTGTCCAGCTTCTCCCGTTTTTTTTTTTTTTTTTTTTTTGAGACAGGGTCCCACTGTGTAGCCCAGGCTTACCTTGAACTCTCCACCCTCCAGCCTCAGCTTCCCAAGTGCTCAGAATTACAGAGGTGAACTTGACCAATTCTTTTTTTGGTTGGTTTCAGTACTGGAGATGGAACCCAGAGTCTCAAGCATGTTAAACATATGCCCTGCTGGACTGGAGTTGTGGCTCAAGCAGTAGAGCGCCTGCTTTGCAAGCATGAAGCTCTGAGTTCAAACCCCAGTCTCAACAACAGCAACAAAAATAAAAAAATAAATCTGTAAAAAAAAAAAAAAGCATATTCTCTGCCTCTGAGCTCTGAGTTACATCGCCAGCTCCAAGGAACTTATCAGCCATTCTTAGAGGGCAGTGTGACCTTTGGAACTGCTTCCAGGGTAGGGTCTCAGTGTTTGCCAAGGTCAGTTGTTGTGATGGGCTTCCTGACACCCTATTGCTAGAAAGAAATCCGATTCTTGGACTGGGAGTGTAGCTCAGTGGCAGAGATTAGTGTGCATAAGACCCCAGGTTTCATCCTCAGCCCTTCAAAAAAAAAAGAAAAGAAAAGAAAAGAAAAAGTAAAAAACAAAAAAGGAAGTGGAGAAAAAGACGAAAGGAAGAGAAAGAAAAAAAGAAATATCCTATTCATAGCATCCAGACCACAGAAGAATTTGAGCCTTGTCCTGTTTTTGTTTGTTTGTTTTTGTGTGACTGGGGTTTGAACTCATTTGCAAAGCAGGCACTCTACCGCTTGAGCCACTCCTCCACAATAACCATTTTGCTCTGGTTATTTGCAGATGAAGTCTCAAGAACTATTTGTTCCCGCTGGCCTCTAACCTCAATCTTCCTGATCTCAGCCTCCCAAAGTAGTTGGGATTACAGGTGCTGGAGCCACCAGCGCCTGGCTATTATCTTGGTTTTGAGACAGGATCTCACTATCTTTACCTGGACTTGACCTTGAATGCGAGATCCTCCTGTCTCTGCCTGCTGAGAGGCTGTGATTACAGGAGTGAGCCACTAGCGCCCTGCTTAGAGCCACTTTTTATCTCCCTCAGATTCAGAAGTCCTGGTGCCCAACAGAGCTGGTGGTGAATGGTGAACATAAAGAGTTCCCCTTGCCCCAGGTTCCAAACAAGGAGTTCAATTTTCATAACTCGATGGGCATTACTTATGAGGCCAAGCACGTCCGAGAGTGTCTGCAGAAGGGTAAGGATGTGGATGGAGCACATCGGAGGTTGAGGGACCAGGTGTAGAAGGGGGATGTTAGGCCCCATGTGGGCCCAGCCTCCTCAGATGCTCGAGTATTTACCACTACATTTCCCACAATGTCACGGGGCACACATCAATCTAAACCACGTATACTTAGATCACAGGGGATTCTGGGAAATGTAGTTCTGTTCTCTCCGGATCGGTAAGAGGGGTCCCTAATTGTTCTCTCTACCACGTCCCTCAGGCCTGAAGGAAAGTCCTGTGATTCCTCTGGCAGAAAGTGAGCTTCTGGCTGACATCCTTGAGGAGGTGAAGAAGATCATTGAAGTCAAGACAAATAAATAAATAGTTTCCATAAAGACCTCTGATGATGGTGGTGTTTGGCCAGGCGCTGGATGCTACCAGCACGGGGCCACTGGAGCATCATTTGGGTAGAATGGTGGGGAGAAGGGGAGGAAGGTGTGTGAGAACCACGTTTCTCATGAGCTTCTGGGTAGACACACCCATGGTTTCTTGTCATGGCCTCTCTAGGGTTTGGTCTTCATTGTCTTGGAGTGATTTTGCAAAACAGCCTGATTTCTCCTCTTGGAAATTATTCTTTCTGGCTTCTTACCATTCTCCCTGCCTGTAACTGCCTGTCCTCAGATTTCCGTGTATCTCTCAGGAAATCCAAAGTGTCCTGTATAAAAAAATAGAACGTAGCTGAGTAAAGCCCTCAGGGCAAGCTGGTGTCAGCCCAGGGTCTGACTTCTGCCATCCCTTTCACCTTCTTTGGTTTTGTTGTCATGGACTCTGGTTAAGGGTAGGTGTGAGCAACAGAGCGAAGACTGTGACTTGGCAGGCAACAACAGTACATGAGTAGTGGGTACCTCTCTACACTCTCCTCCGGCCTCTTTCTGCCTTTGTCTCCTTATCAGTAAAACAGAGATACTAACTAGTGCTAACTATTACTTCCTCTCTGGTAAGGATTTAGTGCACTGGTGTCTTAATTCATTCAGGCTGCTATTAAAAAATACAGTTTTCAGCATACTTTTTTTTTTTTTTTTTTTTTTTTGCAGTATTGGGGTTGGAATTCAGGACTTAGACCTTGAGCCATTCCACCAGCCCTTTTTTGTGATGGGTGTTTTTTTCGAAATAGGTTCTCAAGAACTATTTGCCTGGGTTGGCTTTGAACTGTGATTCTCCTGATCTCTGCCTCCAGAGTAGCAGGGATTACAGGTGTGAGCCACTGGCACTGGGCTAAATTTTTTTTTTTTTTTGGCAGTGCTGGGGTTTGAACTCAGGGCTTCGCACTTGCTTGGCAGGTGCTCTAACACTTAAGCCAGTCCACCAGCCTTGCAATGGTTTGACTTAATTTTTTTTTTTACTTTATAATGGTACAAAAGCAACACAGGGTACTTTGAAGTTTAAATTTGGAGCTCATCTTCTCTCAGGATGCTGGACAGTGGTGGTGACCACAGTTCAGCCAGCCCTGCCATCAAATGGGACGCCACCAGGACTTTACAGTGTGCTGTGTGGCTAAGCCATGATATTTAGCATGCAAGGCACATTTCCCACTTACGATGAGTCTATCAGGATGTGACCACAAGGCAAGAGAGACCAGGGAAAATGCCGCAAGGGAAATAGCAGCCAAGAATTCAGAAGTAAAATTGTGTTAATCAGTAGCTTGATTATTACTGTTGTCATTACTAGGGTTTCAACTCAGGGCCTAATGCTTGCTAGGCAGGCACTTGAGCCACTCCACCAATCTGACTAGCTTGGTTAAAAGCATGTCGGCACTACTTTCTTTGCTGTAAAGCTTCACACTTCCTCACTGAGCTGTAGTCCACTTACCCAAATAATTATTTTACTATGCTTCTTACTGAGCGGGGATATCTTAAAGAATGATCTTGGAGCCGGGCACCGGTGACTCACACCTTAATCCTAGCTACTTGGGAGGTTGAGATTGAGAGGATCAAGCTTCAAATAGTTTGTGACGCCCCATCCCCAGAGCAAAATGGGCTGGAGGCATGGCTCAAGTGGTAGAGCGCCTGCCTAGCAAGTGTGACACCCCGAGTTTAATCCCCAGTGTTGCCAAAATCCAACCAACCAAACGAATACCTTGTAACAACAAGCAGAGCCAGTGTGACAACTGCTCAGAACACGGAGCATTTATCTGAAGGAATGTAGGTGCAACCCTCTGGCCTGCTTTAGGACATAAACATTACAGTCATGACATTAGAGGGCTCAGTTCATACCCACACTTTGTCTATGACTTCTTTGCTTTCTGGTTTCTTTGCCAGTCCTTACCTTGCCTCGTGTCTCAGCCTAAAATTCTTGTCTGTGATCAGAAACAACTACCTCAGGCCAAACTGGGGTCCCCTTTTTCTTGAGGACCTCCTTGAGAATGGCATCAACCCCTGGTGACACTATGAATGGGACTGGGTAAGAAAGCCCTTCACCAAGTGACACACTTGTCAAGCTGAAGACCTGAGTGTGCCCAGGACAACTGCTGTGCAACTTGGACAGGTCTCTTTCCCTCTCTGGGCCTCAGTGTCCTCATCTGTAAATAGGCATATAATCTATCTATTGCTGTCTGACAAATTGATCTGAAACTCAACTGGTCAGAGCACTCAGTTGTTGAGTGTCACAAATTCATGGGTGGCTGGCTCAGGGTCTCTGTCTCAGGTCCATCATAATGTCAGTCAGGTCACCTGAAGGCTTGCCTGGGTGGGGGATCTGCTTTCAGCATGGCTCTGTCACATGGCTAGAGGATTTGGTTCCTCCTCACATGTATGTCCTCTGAGGATGACTGCTTCAATGAACTTACAACATGGCAGCTGAGTTTCCCTGCAGGTAGTGCTTAGAGAGAGAGAAAGGTGGGGTGGTGTGGCTTCTGCAAGCCAACACTGTGTCACTTCCACAATATCTTACTGGTCACATTGGTCAGCCCTATTCAGTTTGGGCAGGGACTACACAGGGGTATCAATACATGGAGAGGATCTTGGATCTTGGATGTGGTCTCTGTTCTTTTGACATAGTATCTCTATTATTGTAAACAGCTTGGGTTGACCAGATGCCAGTGGTTCACAACTGTAATCCTAGCTACCTGGGAGGCTGAGATTGGGAGGACAATTTGAGGCCAGCCGGGGCAAACAGTTTGTGAGATTCCCATCTCCAAAATAACCAGAGCAAAATGGACTAGAGGTGTGGCTCAAGTGGTAGAGCACCTGCTTTGCAAGTGTGAGGCCCTGAGTTCAAACCCACTCCCATCAAAAACAAAAACCCAGCTTGGAGTTCAGTGTTGGTTAGAACTGTGCTGTTCAAAGGTCTATGGCTGAGAGGGAGGCTACCTGCCTAGGCTGGAATCGCAGACACAGATAAGGCCAATTGCAAAGTTCACAGAAAACACTGTTTCTTTCCAGGACATGCTTTGTTCCTTACTGAGAAACTTTGTTCTTTAAAATCATAAACTATCCATCAAAATGAAACATCTCACTGTAGCCTGGAGTGTGAAAGTCACTGGATACAGAGTAGCAGCAACCGTGATGTCCAACTTGGGAGCAGAGCACTGGATGTGCATTGTGGACACAATATTCAAATGGGTGGTCTTCCTGTACTTCTCAAGGATACAGGACCCTGACTCTTCAAAACTGGGACTTGATGTTGACTTGTCACCTAAACACCACCCTTCCTCCTAATGCTATATGTTTTTGGTGCTGGGGATTGAATCTAGGGCTTCTCACATGCTAAGCACTGAGCCACACTCCCAACCCCTGTTTCTTTCTATGGCATACGGTCTCCATTATTGCAGTGGGTTAATAAACTTGACTTTCTCAGACTATGTTCTTGGTAGTGTTAGGCTGATGGGCTGTGACAACTATAATGTCCAACTACCGTGTTCCTTAACTGTCATCCATGCCCTGCCACCCATCCAGCTCCTGTCACTATTTGGCCATCTATGCTGTATCTATCAGCTCTTCCTGTGACAGTGCTGCATAACATACAGTCCCCAAATTCTCAATGGCACACAATAGCAGATATTAACTTGTTCAGTATGGATCTGCAGGTTGACTGTGAGTCATCTGGACTCAGCTGGAACCGGGTTCAGGTCTGCTTTAAGTACTGCTTATTTTGGGACTCAGGTGAGGTATGCCATTCTCATGGTGGAACAGAGGAGCGCAGAGGGTGAGTAAAAGTGAGGGAGGCCTCCTCTTCCCCCTCTTCTGATGAGGCCATGACAAGGGCAGCGAGGGAAGGAAGATTTGTGAATACTTCTTATCCTTCTCATGAAGCACCTGAAGCTGGCTACTATATAAAGAAAAAAGTCAGGGGTTTCTTATTTTTTTTCAGCATCAGCTCGATTCAAGTGAGGACCCCATGGCCCATGGTCACTGTGGCGGGACCAGTATAAGAGGGATAGACCACATGGCAAGACAGATGGCACAGTGAGAGAAGGAGGGCCTTCTCTTGCTCTTTTACAATGACCCTCTCTTAAGAACCAATCAGGAACCCATGAGAACTACCTCAATTCCTTCTATAAGCAAGATCCCCGATGCCCTCCCGCCAGGCTCTACCTCTCTCACCACCTCTTTTTGGTTTTTTTGGAGGCAGGCTGGCCTGGTACGCTCCATGTAGCCCAGGCTGGCCTCATTCTCACCATCCTCGTTGCTCCTGAGGGCTGGGATTACAGCTGTGTTCCACCATGTCTGGCTCCCACCATCTCAACATCACCACATTAACACGTAAACTTTGGGAGACAAACTACATCCAATCTTCTTTCTTCAGTTTTCAAATTAAACTGATCTTGTCCTCTGAGAAATGATCTTTGATCCTCAGAGTCCCACGATGGTCTTTCTTCTGTATGCTCTCCAACATTCAGCCATTACTTTATTAAATAATACATTCTGAGAGATAACCATGTATCAGGCCGTGTGCTACTTTCTGGGGGCACTGAGGACAAATGAACACAATCCTCGTGGTAATTTTAGGCAGGCGAAATAGGCCAACGCTTAATTAAAACATTGCACACAATTAATTACAGCTCCGATCTTGCTCGTAACTTTCTTTCCCATGGCTGCCAGCCACTCCCGGGAAGATAAAAAGATAGATCTAAGAGGCTTTAGTCATCTGAAACGTCCCGCCTGGCCCCTGAGCCTTTGCACATGCTGTTGGCGTTGGGCAGGCTGCAACTCTACCGGGATCTCTACAAATTTTGCACGAATGAACGCGTGTGGGTGAATGAGCGAGTGAATAAACGAAGGTAATGGCTGCGATGGCATAGGTAGCACGTGGAAGGGTACCATGGTCAGCTCTCAAAGGGAGGCGCTGATTGGACAGTCGAGCGGCAGCGGCCACGCCCCCGAGAAGCAGGCAGG